CTTTTACATTCAGAAAACACAACAGCATGATCCCTACATGCATATGTAAGGCTATTTAAAAATAAAATCAGTAATATTAAACCCCTGTCTGTATTTCAAAAATACTCCAAAATGGAATGCAGGTTTCTACTACAGTCAGGCTTGCAGCTTCCTCAGTTCAGAGGTAGAGTTTGTGCATATTGTGCATGTATTTTATCACTCATACAAAGTAGTCAGGGCATAGAGTAAAATATAAAGCCTTTTCTCTAGCAGCCAGACTCTTGGCAGCCAGATCCTTGATAACAAAATGTTTATTGATGATAAAGTTCCATTCCCTTAGAAAAATACCTAAATCCTTGCCCAAAATCACTCTGTGGAAAAAGTCTGTTAAAAGAGATTGTCAGTACACTGCTATAAAAAACACTAATTCAGCTTCTCTTGTGTCTGGAAACTACTTTTAGGCAAATCAAAGTTAAGTGTTATTAGTTAAAAGATCAATTTGATTTCAGTTGCTGGTAGAATGGAAAACAGATTTTAGCTGGATGATGTTTCTTAAGGCTTGACTGAGAAGGAAAACCAATAAATTCTTATCTGAATGCATTTATAAAACTTTTAGAATTTTTAGGTTTCCTTCGAAAATGAAACAGTGAAGGGATGAATATTAATTCATTATTGCACCATATGTTGTGGGGTGTGGGTGGTTGTTAATTTTAGGTGTTTCTTTTGTGGCTCTGGTGTTGTTTATAGTTTGTTTGGGTGGAATGTTGGTGGTCTTAGCCTATTCTGATTTGCTGGTGGCTGATCCTTTTCTCAGTAAGCAAGATAAGATCCTATTTGTTCTTACAAGTTTTTAACTTGGATATAATACTACACATGAGAAAAGCTGGAATTAAAATTCTTAAAACATATACTCATGAACTATTTGGTTCCACATAAATGCTTTTTATCTGTTACCTATGTAAGTCACATCCACATAATGAGGATCAGAGACGTTACTTCCCATTTCATTTGTTGCTTTCACAGTAATATTGTATATGGTCCAGAAAGAGGTGTGCTTTTTATCAAAGTAGCATGAATTGGTGCCTGCAGTTTTGTAGTCTGGACATTCATAAACTTGTTCTTCTCTGAAATGAAAGAGTCACAGTGATTAGACTGTGTGATTACATAGACTATAACACCTGACTGATTACTAGTATTCAGCATTATTTAGGGCTGGATCCGATTTTTCACGCCTGGCAGTGTAAAGAAATTGGAAAACTGTTTTCAGACTAAAGAATCCTTCGACAATTCCAAAGACTGTAGTAAGCATTCCCCCCGGAAAATACAGACTACAAAACTTGAAGAATTTAGGCTGTTGTAGATGCAGCAGTGGGCTCTTTCTTACTTTTCTGAATGCCATTACACTTTGCATAGCCTTTACAGGTTCCAGAGAGCCAGTATAAGTGATTGTGAAGTCTTCTAAGCCATCTATTAAAAAACTGAGTATTTCCAATGTTCATTTCACACTTGCATGAGTTCTGCATTTTAATACGCTTTCAGAATCTCTTTTGTTCTTTCATCACCTGTTCCTCAAAAACATCTACTTTGTACCTGTCCTTCAAATCCATCGACAAGCTTCCCAAATGGAGCAGGGGTAGGAGAGAAAGTAGAGTATGTAGTAGTTGTTTCCAGGCTCCTCTGAGAGGCACAGTACAAAAGAGAAATTTGTGGATGTGGACCTCAACTTTGCCCTGGCTGGCTGGACCAGTAGATGTCTTTTTGCATTAAGACCTGGCTTTCAGCTAACACATACAGAGTTTAGCATCCAGCTGGGGCAGTGCAAGGCGGGGCAGTGCAAGGCTGAGCAGTGCTGCGTGAACCAAAAATAGTTCACGGGACCCATACAAAATATTGACTACTCCTTTAAAATGCATGTTTAGCACTCAATCTGAGTTCCAGGACCAAGATTATGGCAGAAACCAGGAGGCTTTCATAGCCTATGAATACTTGTGCAAAATAAGCATTATGAGAAGATGAAAATTCTAGTATCTATCTGATAATTTTGGAAAGTTTTATTTCTGGGGCTGTGTGGCTGAAGATCTACAGGACTGTGCATGCTCTTATGCAGTTGCTGCACCATGGCACCTTGCAAAGCAGTCTGTCTTTCAGGGCAGAAGAATTCAATGAAACTTGAAAAACCTGACATAGAGAGACCTTATTTCAACCTTAGTGCTATTCCAGAATGCATCACTTGGACAAAACCATGTCCTAGCATCACTTGGACAAAACCATGTCCTATGGAAAATGACAACTCCTACAAGCAAAACCGATCACGATTAGTTTTCCAGGACCTTCCAATAAAATACTGAATAATTGCACACAGCTTATTACCCTTCTTTGCTGTAAAGCAAAGTGTGGTTAATAGGATATCCTCCATTTGAAGCAGGTTTCCACCAACAAGTAAATGTTTCCTTTTCTGGAGAACGGCATTTTATTATTGTAGGCTTTTCAGGAGGTGACTGTCCTGTTAAAACATAAAGAAATGAACCGGTTAGTAAGTTTAATGTGTTATGTCAACTCTGAACTTACTTACAAAACAATGCAAGCAGAGCATGGCAAAATGCCTTTCTTTTCTACAAGGAAAGAAAAACTTTTGCTTCATATTAGCATAGGAAAGGAAGAACGGTTCAGTGGTTAGGGCAGCAGCCTGCTACTCTGACCTGGATTCAAAATCCTTTCTCACTGCAGCTGTGCTGAGGAGCTGGTTTGGTTCCCTGGATTTAGCTCTTCTCTGCCCCAGATCTGATAAGGGCTGCTTAGTTACTCCTATAGCATGTTCTATAAATGATTTAAAATACACTCTGCTATCCAATCTGTTTTCAACATGAACAATTTTTCCTTTAAAAAAATGTGTTTTAAGATGCTTCTGATTGTTTAAAAAATATGCTGTCATCTGTTTTGGCTTTTACAGGAAAAAAAGAAAGAATGTGTTTGCTCATTTGTTTATGTCCTTGACAGTAATTTTCTTTTGAAGCAGCTATGTGGAGCTGACTTCAAAGATACAAAGAAGCAGCTCTCATATTTCCTTGTAAAGTGACATTATACTCAATACTCAGACTACTCCCCTGACTGCTGCCAAGCAGTTTATAATTATTTGGATTCCTGATAATGTTTTTATATAATCAAGCAAAGCACTTTGAGTAGCGCAGAGGAAAAGGTTTAGATTTTGAATAGGATGCCAGTCAAAAGATGGGATTGAAACTTTTGCAGTTATGTATTTGTGGCAAAATATGGTCCTATTACATTAATAATATATATTTTCTACTATGTAGAGTAGGCACATTGATTTTCCAAATTTCTAATTGCCTAAACTCTAAATTACCAGATCTCAAAATGGGACAATTAAAAAGTACTTTTTTATCAACAATACTTCAGCAATCTCCATGTCAAATAATTAATAATACAATCAGCGACAGAAGATTTGGCCAAAGTGTCTGACAAGACAGGATATAATGCATATTTAATGTATCCACTCAAACCCACAAAACAGATAATTATTTCCATGTGATAGTAGCTGCAAATGTTATGCTCTGTCAGACATGGCAGTGCTTCCATTTCAGTTACTAATGAACAAATGAATGATTCCTACACAAGTACCATTACGTGGTATCTACAGTGGCAGATGAAATCAACATGATTTTTAAATAAAGGGAGAGAAGCAATAGATTATTTAGGCACACCTGTACCACAAGTGACTTCCTGGTAAATCCCAGCCTGTTTGTCGTAGCCAGTTTGAGCAGAGGATCCTGAGTGACTAAAATGTGGTTACACATGAAGTATGTGTAAGATGCACTAAAATGTTCTCCCACCATTATGAAGTATCTGTGCGAGGAACCAGGTTTTCAGGGCTGCCATTTAGGCACCTTTCACAACACTGAACAAGCTAGAATTTAAAAACAATTAACAGAACAGCAATCATCCACTCACGTTTGGGAATCTGAATGTGTCTTTCAGAGCTCCACTCACTCCATTTTCCAAGGTCTAACATGCAACGGACCTGAACAACATACTTTGCTCCAGGTTGTACCTTAATCACATTGTACTGTGTCTGCACTCCCACAGGTATTGTCTGGAAAAGAAATTGGGCAAGAAAAACAATAGATAATTCAGCCTTTTTAATAAATAAACCATAAAGGAGCTTGTGTCACTGACTTCAGAAAAGTAAGGGTTTCAGCTGGGTATTCAGATGTAGATTTCAGAGGAGCAAAGATAGTGACTTAAGAGAAAATCTCACTTCAGTGACACTGAGATTCTGATACTCAAGAACATATTTACTTGTAGACTTCCTGTAAGTTAGTACTCCATCAGATCCACAGCGCAAGCAATATTATAGGTAGTCAAACTCACAGACAAGCCCTCCGTGTAGTACTTCTCAGCAGCTAGTGCCTTCCTCAGGCCCTTTGACTCTCTTCAGAAATCTTTCAAAACACAGAGCTTTCTCCATCATTAAGGCATCCACAATTTAGGTAGCACTGAGGCCACTTCACTATGATCTTAAGAATGGTATTTCATCCTGGCGTCTCACCTGTGGGACTACTGTGGCTCACTGCTAGGAAGATAGTAACGGCTGGGAACATGAGTGGAAGCAGTGTGCGTGAGTAGGACACCCCAAACTTTCTGCCCCCACCTGATCGTGTTTGAGAGAAAGATGATGTTGACTCTCAGACCAATTAAATAGGAATTAGGGGATAACTGAGAGATGAAACAAAAAGGGTCAGCCTGAAAAGCAGTTTTAAGGAAGCATGAAAGTTTGTAAGGGAGACGAAATTGGAATCTTTATCAGCAGCTGAAGCTCAGCTTGATGTGATCAGAAGCTGCTCAGCTAGCATCATGACTTCTGACGCTGTGAGTAGCTGCACTCCAGACAGCACAGGCTTCAGCAGGCAGGAACCCACACCTGCATGTATGCTTGTGACCATGTGGGTGCTTTCTCACTGATGTGTGTCTCGGTAGAAGGGATGCGGGTTCATGTTAAGTTAAAGCATCCGTGTCGCCTGCAGAAGCAGTTGTACCTAGAGGAGTTTGTACTTGCAGGAGGTGGGGTGTGCTTCTTACCTACGCTTCCTGGGAGAGGGGAATTTCTGCATTTAGCATACTTCTAGGACTAGTTACAGAAGTGTGTTTATAAATTTGTAGGTGTTTATTAATACTTTCCAGTGCCCAGTATTATGATTAACCTGTTCTATTGCTAATACTGACCCTGACTGCAGAGTTAATCAATTGCTTGTTCATTACATCTTAATCAATCCATAAACTGCCTTGATCCTGATTTGGCTTAAACTATATGAACTGAGTAGTCTCTTACTTTGATGCTTGGGAGCAGACACATTATGAAAATTACAACTAAATATTGTACTGGTGGACTACAGAGGTTTTTATACCATACGACATTAGGAAAATTGTACAAATACCTTGAATTTCACTGTGTCCACAAACTGTTACAGTATTTTTTTTTCTTGGGTCAGATTTGGTTACATTAATTTTTCTGTCCCTACAGAAACTAATTTCTTTTATAATACCAGTGAAATTCAGACAAGACAACTCATCAAAAGAGCATTTATACAATAAATATATTTTCCTGTTACCTCCCACTCTTCCATTCCTTCAGTTTTTAGTCGTAGCTCATAGTGATACACATGTGAATTAGCTCTGACATCAGCTGTTGGAGGTGGAGACCATTTTGCCCAAAGGTTTGTTATGCTAGCAGATGTTTTTGTTTCTACAGTGAGGTTCACGGGAGCATCTGGCTGAACTGTATAAATGAAAAGTTTGCCATTAATGATTTAATTTTCTCTCAGGAAAAAAGGCACCTCCTTTACAGATTTGTATTTCAGCACATCAATTCCAGATCATTCAGCACTTCTGTAAGATAACAGTACAATAGCTTTTTTCTCCTTTCTCTCTAATAAGGTTTAACTGGCGATTGATTTACCACAGTATCAGCAAGTCTTAGACTTTGAATTTGCCAGGCTAAGGAAATAAAAATTGTCATTTCATCAATATATTCTTGCAATATTAAAATATCAGATTTTTTATAGCTAAAAAGACTGACTACATTTATCATTACAATGTGTAGATTATGTGTATGCAGAAAGCAGAACAGAGTAGGAATATGAAATTCTACAAAAAGCTGGCAGAATGCTTGAGCAGTTACTTTTACCCTCCCAAGACTGCACAGCCAGCAGCTAGAGACATATTTACATCTGGAAAAAAAAAACCTGGAGCAAATTTTCCAGCCGTAATTAAAATGACAATAAAATATATAGTTACTTAATTCATAAGTAGAACGCAGTTTTCGCATCAACTAAAGATGCATATTTCAGATCACCTGTAGATAAACTGTTCACAGCAAGTTTCACAAGATGAAAGAAATCTCTCACCACTACTTGCTCTGGGATTAAAAGCCACAGACATCTCCAACTAGTTTGTTTTTAATTTCATTCTTCTCTTTACCTATGGAGGTCACATCCACGTACTGAGGATCCGAGATGTTACTTCCAATCTCGTTTGTTGCTATTACAGTGATATTATATGTTGTCCAGGGATTAGTGTGGTTTTTATCAAAGTAGCAGGAATTGGGACCTGATGTTTGGTAGTCTGGACATTCATAGATTTTTTCTTCACTGAAATAAAATGATTAAAAAAGTTAGAAGTTTAGGAAATGAAGCAGAGCAGATAATATTCTTGAAATGGCCTAGGTTCAGCAAAGAAATTTGAAATGTTTAGACTTAAATATGATCCCACCTCTGGGAAACATTTTGGCAAGTGTCAAATGCTATTACCATAATGTTTCATTACTATTTTTACTGCAGTTCGGGATGAGGAATATGCCAACAAAAGAATGGAAAGAGAAATTTCCAGAGACAGCACAAAGGCAATTTAAAAAAATGTTTAAAAGCAAATTAAACAGCAAATTAAACACATTCATTTTGACTAAAGAAGAAAAGCTGCTAAATATTTTCTTTACATATTTCCCCTGGAAAGTAACCTCATGGGCCCTATGGCAGACGAGTGTTTTATTATTTTTGTTTTCTGCAAGATGTTAATTTATCTGCTTTTTAACATGATCATCATCCCAACTGTCTCAATAAAAAATACCTGATTAATTCATGGCTGCTTATCTATTACTTTTATATGGGTCTTCAGCTTTTTTAGGAGAGGGATCATTTTGTACTCAGAGCTGAAATGGGTGATGACTCGGAGTCTATCCCAGGTGGGAAGAACTGCATGAAACCAAAGCACCAGCTGAGATGGTTCAAGGATGCACTTTAGTCCCATTGTTAAGCTCAATGCACCACTAATAACAAGGTCTCTTAGTTTCCAGGCAGTTTTGTCCCGGTTCACAAAGAGAAGATGGGAATAAGGGGACTGTACCCAAGAGACAATAAGCTAAGAAAGGCAACTGTGGCCCACGCCTGGTGTGCTTGGTAGTGCCTGGTGTTCAGCGGATTTAATGAACTGGATAAGCATTCTTGTCCATCTCTAAGCAGGACTGTTCTGCACTGTGATAAGCATGACTTAAAATATTCATTAAAATTTCTGGTTTGATCAAGATTGAAACATCTGGACTTCCACAAAATTATTGTTGAGTACGGTAATTTCATTAAAAGCTGCATCTTTCCTGATCAGTACCAAATGACTTGGAATTTATTTAGTTGGAGCAGGGAAGTCTGAGGCTTTACCTTACCTATTCTGAACCTCTAGGGATTTATTCAAAGATACATAATCTCTGAGCCTCCCTGCTTTCTTGGCCCTGTTCAGAGACCTCTTGTTTTCAGGAAGAAAGGGCAGTTATACAAAGAAGCACAGGTTAAGCAGAGTTGCTAAACATATACACATTTTATTCTTAAACAGGATGAATGAGTCACAAACTTAACCAGAACGTTAACTTCTGAGATGCAACAGCCGCATTTGATTTTACTGCCTTTTTGGGAACCGTGAGATTGGCTACAAATCCAGAAGGGGAAGCAAAGATGATCTATATCTCCAGATGGGGGTTTGCTGTGCACAGCATTGGACAAGCTCCTTGGCAGGACCCTGAAGGCACCACCATCTCTCACACACTGCCTGGGTCCCCGGTGCCCATGTCAGCGTGCTGCAGCAGGGCTGGTCTCCAGCTCCCCACAGCCCTGTCCTTCTCCAGTTTGCCACCCAAGCCAGCCCCAACCCATGGGCTGACATCCTGGACCAACCTGGACTCAGCCTGCCCTGTCCCCAGGTGCTTGATGCCCAAGGCTGGGCTAACCCCAGCCTGCCCTGTCCCCAGGGATGGAGGTCTTGCCCTGCTGCCCCAGGGGAGCCCCCACAGCTCTGTGCTGCCTTGATGGTCCCCTCCTCAGAGAAGCGTGCCATTCAGCTAAAAGCTGTGTGCCTCCTGATAAGATGGATAAACTACACCTTTCCTAACACGTCTTTAGACCAGTGGGATTTTAGGCCAGATGAGTTTCAGTAGGGACAGGCTGAAGGTTTGGGACCGGTAGTGGTCATGTTTTCTGCCAACAAGGGAGAGCCATTCATCTCATGTAGCCTTTGTTGGCTATCCGAGATTTAATAGGGATTCATAAAAACACCTTTATAAATTAATGCTATCATTCCCTCATTCTATCATAATCATCACTTGATCGTTTACAGAATACATATGCATTGTTACCTGTCCTTGCTGTAGAACATGGTGTAATTGGTAGGAAGTCCTCCATCTGAGCCAGGCTTCCACCAACAAGAAAAGGTTTCCTTTTCTAGAGAATGACATCTTATTATCTTAGGTTTTCCAGGGTATGACTGACCTAGGCAAGTGCAGAAATCCAGCTAGTTAGAGTTGGACAATGTTTTTGGTTGTTATGATTGAATGACACAATCAGCAAGGAATGCTTTTCTGAGGACAGTAAAATGATTTGAAACTACAGACTGAATTTGTCAAGTAAGTCTGCCTGGGAAAAGTCTCAAAACTTTAAGAAAATATATTTCTAAAACAGCTACTAAAATTATTTTACTTCTCATTTTCCAATGAAAATGTGATTTTAACCTAAACTTAGAAAGTGTACATTCATCTTCAAATTAAATTTAAAAGCTTGGAAGTAAATGTATGACCTTTTTTTCTTTTCCTAAAATATGAAAAAATTTTATCTTCAGGTCATCTTAAAACTAAATTTCACCTTCAACTTTGCAACAGTTTCATTACTTGCACATATTTGGGGTAAATTATAGTCAAGCAACAAAAAGAAGGAATCAATGGGCTGGATGCAGTATTTTGCGTATTGGTAAACTGAATGTATTCATTAATTATTTCATAGATTCATAGAATGGTTTGGTTTGGACAGGACCTCAAGACAATCTAGTTCCAACCCCACTGCCATGAGCATGGTCACCACACACTAAACCATGTTGCCCAAGGCTCTGTCCAGCCTGGCCTTGAACACCTCCAGGGTTGGAGCATTCACCACTTCCTTGGGCAACTCATTCCAGTGCCTCACCACCCTCACTGTGAAGAACTTCTTCATTATATCACACCTGAACTTCCCCTGTTCAAGTTTGAAGCCATTACCCCTTGCCTTACCACTACAGTCCCTGATGAAGAGTCCCCCTCCCAGCATCCTTACAGGCCCCCTTCAGATACTGAAAGGCTGCTCTGAGGTCTCCACGCAGCTTCTCTTCTCCAGGCTGAACAGCCCCAACTTTCTCAGCCTGTCCCCATATGGGAGGTGCTCCAGCCAATTTGAATATTCCCTGACAATCCCAAAACACTTAAGAATATTTCCTATTAAGACTACTCGTCATTAATTTCTACCAAGAACATAGACCATAAATTTACATACATTTTGACATGAAAAGCATGTGGCTTTTCAACCTAAGCTTTCTTAGGTAACTTTTCAGCCTAAGCTTTTACTTCATTAAAGTTCCATACCATTATCTCTAATAGTGTTACTATTACATGATGCTAATTGCCAAGCATGGAGTGAGTGTAGGCATGGAGTGACTGCCTTTCACCATTGCCACCACATAATCATGAAATTAACACCATAAAAAGAAAAGAGGACTCAAGCCATTTCCAAAATCTCCATACAAAGCTTTAGAAGAAAGTAATTTAAATACGTACAGGCTCCAGTGGTGGTCAGGAGAGATCAGGTAAAGCCTCAGACTTATCTAAAGAAAGTATTCTAAGGAAAAACCAAGTGTTTCGGGAAGTGTTGTACTTACCCATCAGACTCACTGCAGTCAGAGCAAGTAGCAGAATGGTTTGAACTGATGATGTCAGTTTCTGCTTCATGATGTCTGCTTCTCAGGAGGAAACACCAGATCAAAGGCTCACTGAAAAATAGGCCATCATGCAGTAGTCAATAACGTGTAATGCTTAACGTGTAATACGTGTCACTTGGCTTGATCGAAGTCCTTTTTGAATTGCAGTTAATTGATTCTTATTTTGCTCAAAAAGGTGTAGTAACACCTACGGTTCCACTTCAGAAGCAGAAAAACTGAATCACAGAGTAGTGAGTAGGTCTTCCTGAATGGCTAAAAGAGCCAGTATTGCAATCCTATAGCATTGACAAATCTTGCATATTTATTTCACATCTTGAGATACTGTTTTTCTTAAGGTTCTTCATTTAGACTCATTAATTTATCTGAGAAACCAGCCTTTTAGTAACAAAAAATACCCTATTGACACAAAGAAGATAGATACCCTGTTTTACCCCTGTTACAAAGAAGAGCTCATCATATTTCAAACTCTGGAAGTCCTGAAAACAGAAAGCAAATAGAAAATAACCAGAATTTGTTGAGAAGTTTTTTTCTTTTATGATTTTTGAGCCAGTCTCATGTCTTCTGAATGTTTGGGACTGGCAATGTTGAATTCAGGACCACATGAGCTGAAGAACGCTACTCCTTCTGTGAGTTCCAATTGTTGTTTTCACTGCATTTGATTTTGCAGATAAGTGGAAATGCCAAGATCGGAGAAAAGAAACCAAGACGGAAAACTTCACAGTTACTTTATTAGGTGAAAACGCAGGAAGGGATGCAGTTATCTCTCTTTGTTCAACGCAGTTATCTCTCTTCGTTCAACCTTTAAAGACCAGAGGCAGTGTGACAGAACTCGGCTGAAATACAGCCGGGTGCAAGCGAGAAGCCACCAGCTGCGAAGACCCCGTCCCTGCGGTGGGCTGGCACCACTAGATGTCCTCAGAATTCAGGTTACAGCTCAGCGTGGCCAGGAGTCGCTGTTGCTGCTAAATCTGATTGATCAGCCTGTAGAGCAGGCAGAATGACTTCAAGCAAACCTCTTGCTTGTCCCACCACTACTCGTCCTGCTTGGAGATGGTGACTGGAGTTGACTGTTAGAGTCTTCGTAGCCGACCTCAGTCTTTGAAACTAAAGAAGAACAAATGTACTATCTGAATAGGGAACTCCTTATGTCAGCTTTCCACTCCTACCAAGTACATCTGACAGGTATTTGTGTGCTTGAAACCCATTCAGTGTAGCACAGCGTGGGAACAAGCTGTCTCTTTGCTGAGGAAAAATTTTTTGTGGTTTATCAGATGACTCAATTTTCATTATGCAATTCATTTTCTGTATCGAGAAGCTATAATCTGTCACCATATAAATGTTTTTTAAGCACAAAGACAAATGGAAGTATCAGTTAATTTAACCGAGTCTAAAGCATGTTTACTGTGGACAGTGTGGAGAACAACAGTTGGCTACATTTCCATATACCACTTCTGAATATCCAGGCACGTTTAACACATGTTTTCTAGCTACAGCCTGGAAAATCGCATCTGGGTTGGTTTTAAGCTCACTTATAGCAATCTGTGCATATACAGTCAGTGGAAAGCAAGTAATTTTAATATGAATTCCAGTTTTGTGTAAGTACATGCAGATTTTATGACTGTAAACAAATGGCAGGCACAAACAGTTGTGTTTAACCTCAGAAATGAGCTGAAAACTTGGTGTAATATGTGGAGTGCAGACTACTGAGAGCATGCAAGAGCAAGGCACATTTTTTCTCAAGTGAAGGTGAAATAATGAATTATAAACAGTAACTATTTCATATACATATGAGACCACTTGCAATATTTTATTATTGCTAACAGTAGTTGGAACATTTGCAAAATGCAGCATTTTCAAATTGAGACTTGTACAATGCTTCCCTTTAGAGAGCTGGTACCATGATTTAGGTTTTTTTACTTTAACAGATGTATCTCTTCTGTGTAAAGAGTTGACAGACAAGAGAAACTGATTACAGTGGGTAAAAGAATGAAATTTGTCAATACAATGAAAGAGAAAGCATCGTCAAGATAGAGCACTCTTCAAGGAAAATGGGATCATTTTGGAAACTAAAGACCTAAAGAACCAAATTAGTAGAAATGGGATGAAGTTAATGCATGTAAAACCAAGTATTTTTCCTTGGGAACATTCGTTTTTTAAGAATGAGATGATTGTGAACTACTTTGCTAACGTGGCTGTGAAAAAGAACAGGACACATACAGGGGAGGAATATGGTCCTATTACTGCCACAGACTAAACTCTACGAACAGTTTTTGCCATCTGTATTTGGGGAAAGAAAGCCCAGGTTAACCTATTTAGAAAAGATTTAGAACACAGCTAGAAAGATGAACAGAAGACACAGGGCTGTCTCATGATGCCAATTTAGAGAGTAAGCTTTCTACTTCACACAAGATTGGTAGTCTTCTATAAACATAGCAGGAGATTAGCATCAAAAGAGAGAAAATAAGAATGTGCAGACTCTAGCAAATGTTGGAACAGGAATAGATGGCCATAATTAGCTCATAAAATTAGAGAAAAATGTTACCATCACAGCAGTGAGTTTCTGGAATAGTCTTCCAGACATGATAATCCCATATAGTTTTCCCAGCTAGTCTGATCTATGATGAAATATATACGACATGGCTGGTTGTGGCAGCTGAGGACTGGACTTTGTGATCTAATATATGCTTTCCAGGCCTGTGTTTCATAATTCAAAGTTTAATACTTCAAATTATTAACAATTAGAAAACTGCAGAAGCATGAGATGGCTGGACATCCTATTTACATTCAGGATTTAATGCTTTCAAAATATTTTCTACTAAAGAATTATCAGAACCTCTGTTTATTTGTAGATTAAGCTTAAAATCATCCTAGAAAAGCTAAGTTTTGATACTTGTTTTGCTTTCTGGAGGAATGTGAGCAGCAGCAGTGCTGTGGCCAGGAGGCTTCAGGCACATTAACTATATTCCATTTGTTCCAGTGCCTATGTTTCCATGGTTGCCTTGTATTTGGTATCCGTCGTTCAAATGTCGTTTATAAAGCTTCTGCAGAGATGTCTTGTTTTCAAAAATACTTGCTTTAGTAGAAAAAATAATGTCCACTTTGTTATAACTACATCAAAAGTGCATCTCCTCTGTTTATGACTCTATGTTTTTGTAAAGGGGTAAATAGCATTAATGAAGATGCTGTGAGGGAATGCCTCATTTTTAGGACTCAATGTATTCTTTTATAAGGGGCACAGTAGGCACTCATTTGCCAGAATGTCATGCAAAACCAAGGGTTGAGTAACTGATAATTAAATGATCACATGCATCCTTTTTCAGAGTTTTTATTTAATTCCAACGAAGTTATTACATTCTGACATAGTTGAATTCCTCCCTTTTAAGACAGCTGTTACATAGTGTTCAACAGCTGCACATTGCACCCCAGAAATCAGTGCGTCTTGATGGAAATTGAAATGTTTACTGAGGTTTTAGAGTGCACAGAAGTGCACTCTAGATATTCCTGTAAAATAACCCTACTCTACAACTAATAATGTTATGAAATTGTAGGTTTGAAAACTATGCTTGCAATGCTGCTAAATGAAGCTGAAAGTTAAACACCAGTACTGAAATCAGGTGTGGAGGAGTAGGGTTGAAAGAGAAAACATCCTTGTCCTAATTAAGTTCTAGTTCATTTTCTCTTTCTTTCTTGGCTATGCTGATGGATAAATATTTTGAGACTGACAGAGAAGTCTTTATTCAGTTCTGCACAGATGGAAAAATTTTCTATCTGAAATGTTTTCAAGCTTGCAGGAAGGGGAACAACTGTATAGAACCCACTGACAATGGCATTATGTCCATCACACGCTTTGCTTGTGCTGCTAGAGAAATCTAAAGCTGAAAGAACTTTACCAAACAAGATTCACATTCCTACTAGTTATGATGATAAACAGTACTCATCTTTCAGGCCTGGGAGAAGACAGTTTAAGGAGTCTCAAAACACTGCAGTTCATTACTATTTGAAAGGCTGAACTACAGCTGTATGAAACCAACTACAAATAAAGAACAAAATAAAGCAAGAATATGAGAGGCTATTAGACCATCCAGAATCCTACTGGCCATATATTCAATTATACTGGGGACATTGAATAAGTCTGTCTTCCCACGTCAAGTTCTGAAATGCCAATACTGATATATGTCCATAGCCAAGACTTGGGCATCGTTACCACTACATGTGTTTCTGAGTGACAGTGATGGTTTGCTTCATACTGCATACAGAACGCTCAAGTACTTTGCTCGGACTGATACTAGAAATGTAACAAAAGCTAAAAACTGACCCTTTCCTACTATTTTTCTTTTTTCTTTTCTGCATACCACCTCTACTGCCTTTGTTTTCCCAGTAAGACATGATTTAGCTAACAACAGTGTTCCTGACCAGTCTCACAGTCCTGAAAATTCTGTTTTCTTCCCTGCTCGTCTCTATGTTTAGCCATAATTTTAGGCTGATTTTTTTTTTTTTTTTTTTAAGCAGTCTTTTCTGTATAAGAAAAGCATAAGCTGTAAAGAATAAAATTTTAGCGTTTGAATTTACATTACACTTGACATTACAACTTGAAAATTGTGCTTGAAATGGTGGAAGTTCATTTCTACCAACTACCAAGCCCAACTCTTGCTATAGTAATTTTAAATATTATTTATATATAGCATTGTCATGAAATATAAAGTACAGTTTCTTACCTGAAGGATTCATGTGTGAGAGGAAGATTTTTGTTCCTCTCTTTTCCTGAATGTAAGATCACTTGATAACCTGCAAAGAAAAAAAATCCAGGATTAGCACATAATTGGAAGCATCACTACTTTACTTCTAAAACATGAAGAGCAAAAAAAAAAATCACTTTTTGCATTAGCTGTTTCAGATACTGACACAGTAAGTCAGTACATTTAGACATTGAAAGCAACACTGATTATGGTAAAATACCATGTTACCATACACTCTCTTTCCTTTATCTGTTCGAATAAAAGCACAAAATTT